AGTCTGTAGTTTATAAATAAACCAAGTATTACAAAGATTTGTTACCTTTTGAAATAGTTTATTTTGCTGCATTTAATCATTATTACAACATACAGAACCCTATAAAAGTAGTGATAATAAAATAATATCAAAAATAACACATTATGCCTCCTATTTAACACAAACAATATTTTGACATCTCTGACTTGCCAAATTTTTCAACCAATTTTATTTTCACTTTCATAGTTCTGTCTTCAACTGCTTGTAGTTTTAACTGTCTTGGATGTTCGTAGAAATGGTTTTTACCAGCTTGTAGCCAAGATTCTGACGTTTCTGTAGATACCAAACATGTCTATGTTGAACTAAAATAACTTTGAGTAATTAAAGTAGAAAACCGGGGGTTTGGGCTTAAGAGATGAATGAACCAATTGGCGGGCCGAACTTTGGTCACTCGCTGGCCGGATGTGGCCCGCGGGCCGCCAGTTGAATAGCCCTGCTTTAGGACATTAAATTACCCCCACCACAAACAACGATACAAACAAGGGAGCTCAAATCTGGGGCTGTTGCCAGTTATTCTTGTTGCATTTCTTTGGATGTTTTACCAGTGTAAAGTGAAATGGGTCAACTCTACCATATATTACATTTTTAATTCTTAAGAAATAAATGAAGGAATACTAAATGTAATCTTTGGTAAATGCAGTACTGTTCAGAGTTTTGCAATGTCACTAATGGAATACAAAGTAATATWTTCCACACAGATTCTAGATAAACAAATATGTTTTTGTCTTTATTTTTGTTGCCATCAGAATTTCCTGACAACTGTTGCCGTCCTCCTGGAGGCAGGTTCCTACGTCAACACTCAGACTCAGTTAGGAGAAACAGCACTGATGAAGGTAACTATTTCTTGCAACAAACCTAAACTTTCACCTGTAGCTGGTGTAGATTCTGTCCTCAACACAGTAAACCCAAAAACAAGGTTAAACTGCACTTGACTTGACTTGGACTTGTGGAGTTTTGAGCTTATAAACTGTATGAGAAACTCATCATTAAACTTAGATCCACAAACACAAAAACCAGATTAAACTTTTTTCACATTTGCTGTTTTGTTTTTGTTATTTGACCGAGATAGAAAATGCTTTAACCAAAGGTTTTGACAGGCTTTTTGTTAGGGTAGTTGTTATTAATGAGCAAGTTATAGTTCTGTTATTTTGTATTTATTGATGCAACAATTGTTAAAACACAACTTGTGACAGAACTGCTGAATCTGAGCTGCTGCTCCTTCCTTTTCCATGGAGTTGTCACATTTTGTAGATGTAAACAGGGTTCATGCAGTGTCTTAAAAAGTCTAAAAAACGCCCAGATTTCATCCAAGGTCTTAAATTTAATTTTGTCAAGTCTTAATTTTTTCTACTTTTGATCATTCCTGAGAACCGTTGGCTGAATAAATAAAGTTAAGAGTCGTAATCAGAGGTTGACACGATCTGTCTTCATGATGCTAAGTTTGCTACTGGTCATGATTAAACTACAAATCCCATGATAACTGCAGGTAAAACTGTCACAGTTTACTTCCATGTTTTTGACCTCTTTGCAGCTACAACCCCCAACATACCAGCGGCTTATTTACCTGCTCAACACACAGAAGTTCAGTCAGGTCCACTGCTTGTTGTTTAAACATGGGAAAGTGTGTTTTCAATCAGACTTGACTTGATATCAGTGATTTTTTTTCACTCAATTGAAAGCAGTTCACAGCAGTCAAATATG